CGCGCTCACTCTCCATGCCTCATACTTACCTAGTAAAGCTTCCGGAAGACTGCTATTTACCATTTCTTCTCTCTTGAGGGAAATCCACTGGTTGGTTAGGTCTTAATCTAGCCATAGCCGGTTTACATTTCTTCCAGTTCCTTAAAGACAAAGAGACTACATCACCTTTCAGAAGACCTACTTGCCTCTCCTTCAAAAATGTAATGGTTCTTTCATCTTCAGAAAATCTGAAGTGAAATGTGTTCTCACTTTTCTATATCGTCTAATGCCAGCTTACTAGATTCAGAATCCTATACTTGCTAAAAACTGGGATTATCACTCGTTGCAGCATTAGTCTAGAATCATGCCATGGGTTGCCTGGTTTGTGCCGAGGAGGACAAAGTGTATATTTCCATTTTTCAGCAATGGCGGTGGTTGAGTCAGAACCTACAGTGTATTTTATGTCAGAAGGAAAGTGTCATGATTGTTTAGCAACGTGTGCCTCAGACACCAGGGGAGGAAGTTACAGCACACATGCCTAATATTTGCTACCCCGTGAGAGAAATATTTATTTAAAGCCTACTGTATGCCATGAACTCTGCATACATTCTGTGATATATTCATCACAGATGGTAAATGGATATTTTCCCACGTGGACAGTACAGAAGGACAAGAGTGAGGTGTTTATCTAAACTCAAAAATTAGGAAATTAGCATTACCTCAGAGAGGATTAAGCAGTGAAAGTAACACAAAATGAAACACAGAGAAGGGATTTAAAACGTCGTACTGGAGAAACTTGTGAGGATAGCACCCAGGACAGCAATATGGTCACTTGCCAATAATCATGTTTAATGATTAAGCATGTTTTAAAGAAAGATTGTCAATTAGAAGGTGGTTTGATTAATAATAGAAACTTAGATAAGCAGGTATCGCCAAATCAAATGTTAGCTGTACATTCTCAAGCAAAATATTCAGTTAGTTATACTCAGCAAACATTTATTGAATGTCTGCCGTGGGCTGGACATTGTGCTGGGTGCTAGGCATGCAAAGATAACTAAGATATAGTACATGCTAATCTTTTCATCTTTTTAAAATTTCCCATCGGCCATGTAAATACAGTAAAAATGATAGACTAGAAAACTTAAAAAATACAACCCCAATTTTCTAATTAAGAGTACACAGATATGAAATTACTCTACCATGTTATTATAAAACATTTCTAAATGCTTGCTTGCAACTTCCAGACGTACCTCAATTCACCAGTTTAAAAAACAGAACAGTTCACAGACTGGCACAAATCTATAGACCACATTTTGAATGGCCTTGTCTTAAAGGATACTCATCAGCCCAGAGGATAGCTTGAGCAAAGACTGCAGGAGTGGATGGTGCGGCCGGGGCTGAAGACAGAAGCATTGGGCAAATTCTTTTTGCCATTAAGTTCCTTCCTTCCTTCTTTCCTGCCTGCCTTCCTGCCTGTTTGCCTATGTCTCTCCACCCTCCCTCCCCAACCCCACTTCTTTCCTTCTTGTTCTGAATCATATGTTGGTGTAACTTTTTAAAAACAGGCTTGCATGTGCCCTGATATCTTCAGTTATTTCTTTATAGTTGGATATGTTTTCGTCAGTCAATTTAAATTCTTTTTAGGAAAAAGGCTAATTATGAATCGATAAAGTAAAAATAAATAAAATAGAAAGACAGTGAATAAAGGGAGAAAATCTTGCCTAATTCATAGGAATTAGCTGTAATTTATTCACCACCAACACCCCTCCCATGTAGGGCATGCCTTCTGAATGCCCAGCACTAAATTAAAATTTAGCATTGACCTCAAAAAGCACAGCCTTCTAGGGAGATAGACAATCACACAGATACATTACAGATAAAGGTGGTTAAAGGTGTGAATGTGTTCTCACCAATGTATCATTTCATGAATGTTTCAATAAACTAGTCCTATGAACACAGTCATATGAAAACACGAAGTCGATCTGTGAACTTGTCTTGGAAATAGAGAAGTCTTTACATAAGGGAGGACATCTAAGTAGGTTTTGTTTATTTGAAATAATAATTTTTTATTCTAACAAAGTAATACATGTATATAGTCTGGTATGTAAATCAGCCCAGCCCTGCTCTCTCTCCCCTAGAATCCCACTCCTTACAGACAATGAATTCCAGCACTTTTCAGGTTTAGTTCTATTACCAATATATTTTTAAATAATACGCTTATGATGCTCATTCTGTTTTGTTCAAAGTTAGGTATTGTGTATTGACTCATGTCTGTGAAAATGCAGACTTGGCTTTCCTATTGCCCGACCTCTACTGCCCATCTCCTGTCTCTTTGATTGGATGTTGGTTTTGTTGCTGCCTGTCTTAGTGAAGGCATTGGTCAAAGGTCTCTTGACCTTGGCAAAATTGTTCCTGTTTCAAGCTTCCTGGAACAGTGTGCACGGAAAGACTAAGGCTGTGGCTGGAGGCATCCCTCTGTGGGAATCAGGTAGGTATCTTGAGATTTTACCGGGGAGATCACAAATGTAAGTATTTTTACAATTTTTTCTTTTGAGTCGGTCAATTTTCCTAAAGAGGAATCCTACAATCTCTTGCCTGGGATGTACAAATCTGGATGCCGGCTTTCTCAGAGCCGAGTTGGGCAAGCAGCCGGAAGTTTCATGTTTTAGTACATAGACTCCCCCTAATCCCTGTGTTCAGAGACTTCTGCCGTGAGCTCTGCCTGCTCTTTCCAACTCCAGAGATCCTCAGACTCAGCCTCTTTAGTATTAAACCTCCAGGCTTCTGATGAAGAAGTGTATTCACCTGGCTGTGTGGAAAGGGTGAAAAAATCCATGGATTAATGGCTTCTTGTACATTCGTCAAATCCTGTTTTCAGCTCTTCCCATGCCACCCTCCTAGGCCATCCTCCCAGGCATCCAGCCCCTCGTTCCTGAGTCCTCTTGATCCTGTGATGAAATTCACTTTATTGCTTGCACCCCCACACATACCTTTTGTGGTTCGCTAAGTTGGGCATCATGCATCTGCTTTCCACACCCCAGTTTCGTCAAAATACTTTATCACCTGTCTTCTTCTCTTCTTTTTGCCCTTGTAGTTTTGTGCATCTTTATTTTTTAAAATCCTCTTTATATCCTTTTACTAGATTTTCATGAGGCACCAGAGAAGAATGCATCTTTAGTCAGCCCCTTTTACTTAGAGTTGTAAGTTACACTTTGAAGGATAATTTAAGGGTGAAAGCATGGGGGAATGGAAAAGGCATTTTAGGTCAAGGAAACTGAAAGTCTAAAAACAGATTTCTGAAAGGATCTGGCATCGTGTTTGGGAAATGAGGATTACAGTTTGGCTGAAGTATAGGGTATAACAGGCAGGGAAGAACTAAGGGAAGTAGACAAGGCCCCTGTGATAGACTGGATATAAAAATGGCCCAAATTATTTCCCTCCCTCGATGTACATGTCTTACAATGTAACTTTGCACCTTCTTCCATCAAGAGGAGAGTCTGTTCTCCAACCTCTGGAATCTAGGCTGCCCTCGTGATGGTGCTGGTCAATAGAACGTGGCAGAAGTGGTGATCATACAGTTTTCACTAGGCTGCAAGAGGCCTTGCATCTTCCACTTGCTGTTTTGGAAACCGCCCAGGTGCCATGAGAACAGGCTCAGCTAGCCTGCTGGAGGATGAGAGATGTGTGACCCAGTCTTCTTCCTTTCCTCAGCTGATAGCCAGTCAATCCCCAGAAATAGCCATTTAGCTGAATTACAACTGACCACACACATAAGAGAGCTTAGCTGAGACCAGAAGAAAACACCCCTTCCTCAGACAAATGCAGGGCCCTCTCTGTGTCAGACTGGGTGCTGGGACCACAGTGTGAATCAGACACAAGGGGCTCAATCTCAAGGAATAGAATGGATGGTGCTGTAGGAAGTAGGTACCTCAAATCAGGAGCTGCAGGCTTTAGGACCGTGAATACATCCTTCATTAGGATCTTCTCCTCCTTCTTATTCTCTCCTTTTCCCCATACCAAAAAGAAAATGAGTTGAGAATGTCAGAGCCATTCTGTGTTCTCCAAAAGGAAATGCAATGCAAGTCACATGTAATTTAAAATTTTCTAGCACTCCCATTTTTGAAAAGTAAAAAGAAGCAGTTAAATTGAATAATATGTTTCAGTTAACCCTGTATATCCAAAATGTTATTCTTTCATAACAATTCGAAAATTTGAAATTAAATTTAAAAAATTATAGAGACATTTTACATTCTTTTTTTCTCTTTTTTTCTTTTTTCTTTTTTTATACACACTCGTCTTCAAATTATAGCATATCTATTAAGTTTTTAGCACACCTCATTTCAGACCAGCCACTTTTCAGGTCCTCACCAGCCACCTTTGGCTAGCGTCTGCCATGTTGGAGAGCGTGCTCCTCTGGATTTGCCTCAGAGAACAGACTATTAAGCAATGGGGCCAGTCTCTCATTCCCTGTGCCTCGCTTCTGGCACCCCACCCCAGCTAGTCCTGGACAGAGGCCTCCTGGACGCCTGCTCTGATTCTGTTTTCAGGGAGGCTGCATCTTCTCTCCTGTCAGTGGTTGATTGGCCACAGGGAGACCTTAGCCTGCCTCAGGTTCCGGCTCCCAGTAGGCCTCCTCTCCTTACGGTGAAACATGACCGCTGGCCAAGCCAGGCCCGCAGGCACACCTCAGAGCAAGCCTCCTGTTTGCAGCTCTCATGAATTGCTCTTTCTTTTCCAGGGCTTACAGAAACCATTTCCTTGACTCCTTTTACTCCCACTGCAGCATTAGTATGACCTGCAGAGGGAGCTACACAAGGCTTCCTTTGTTTCTCAGCTTGGAGTTGTACAATGTACCTGCTTTAGATAAAAGTCTTTACCTTGAAAAGCCACATTTTTGTCCCTTCTCTTCCTTCCCCATTTTTACAGAGCCAACAATCAAGCCTTCACTTTCACCATTTAACCTTATAAAATATGAGCAGGTTTCGACTTTGGCAATGGATTTTAGAGTTTCCCAGCTCGCTGCCTGGAGTTTGGCTTTCTGAGAGGAAGGCTAAGAACTGGGCATTGGTTCTGAAAGCTCCAGAAATGCCTTTATGATGCCCCTTGATAATTCGGTGACTCTATGTGTCATCCTCTATTTCTCAGGAGAAGTGAAAAATAAGAAACGGGTTTAATAAAACGACTGTGCAGCAGGTAGTTCAAAGAGGATTGGGAAGCCTGGGCATAAGTGGAGGGACGCAAATGCTATCCCTGAGGATCATAGCCGCTCGTGTTTGTGCATTGGAAAATCAAGCCATCCACCTCACCTCACCCTCCCTGCTTCAGGTAACTTGCTCCCAAGAAGATGTGTATAATGTGGGCCTTCGGGTCACTAGTAACTTTGTTCTCTTATTTTAAACCCCAAAACCTTACATTTGCAGCACAGCAGGGCAGTTGGAAACCCTATCGAAGATTTTCTGACATAGTCTTAGGTACACCTTTAAAAAACACTGAAAACAAAGCAGCTCTGTAGAAGATATAGACACGATAATAAGCTTTCAGAGGCTTATTACAAGGTCCCTGGACACAGGATACTTTTAATGTAGGTGATTGGAACAATAAAAAGATAGAAGCAACCCAAATGTCCATTGATGGATGAATGGATAAACAAACAAAATATGGTATATACACACAATGGAATATTATTCAGCCTTAAAAAGAAAGGAAATTCTGACACACGCTACAACATGGATGAACTTTTAAGGACATTATGCTAAGTAAAATAAGCCAGTCAGAAAAAGACAAATACTGTATTATTCCACTTATATGAGATACTAAGGTAGTCAAGTTCACAGATACAGAACACAGAACGGTGGTTACTGGGATCGGGAGAAGAGAGGAATGGAGAGTTGTTGTTCAATGGATATAGAGTTTCAGTTTTGCAAAATGAAGAGTTCAAAAGATTGCATAACAGTACGAATGTACTTAACACTACTGAACTGCAGATGGCAGGTTTTAGTGTGGAACTTTTACTTTTTTGGGGAGGGGAGTCTCGGAATTACTGAAACCACTTTTCCTCTGAAGGGAATGATGTTTGTTACTCTTTTCCTTCTCTCCCTCCCTATTTGATTCACTCCAGACTCAACCCACTTCAGAAGTTTGCCATTGAGAAACTGCAGTTCAACTCAGTTTGCACCTTTTTATTGTAAATAGTGCTACTTTGAACATGGATGTACAAATATCTCTTTAAGATACTGCTTTCAATTCTTTGGGGTATGTACCCAAAAGTGGGATTGCTGGGTCACATGTTAATTCCATGTTTAATTTTTTGAGGAATCTTCATACTGCTTTTCACAGTGATTGTACCATTTTACCACCCCACCAACAGTGCACAAGGGTTCTAATTTTTCCACATCCTTGCCAATACTTGTTATTTTCTATATTTTTGATGGCAGCCATCCTAATCTGTGTTTGAGGTGGTGTCTCATTGTGGTTTTGATTTAAATTTCTCTAATGATTAGTGTTGTTGAGCTTTTTGTATATCTTTTTTATAGACACGTCTGTTTAAGTCTTTTGCTCATTTTCAATCAGGTTGTGCCAGTGGCCTGTTTGTGGAAATGAAGTTTTATTGAAACAGCCCCTTACCCATCCATTTACATATTGTCTATGGCTGTTTTCTACCCTACGACAGCAAAGGCCATATATATTTTTTAAAACTTGTTTGTTCATAGTACAATCTGATCATGCCACTCCTTTGCTTAAAAACTTGCATCTTTTCTTTGCCTTCTGAAGTCTTGCATAATGGGCTCAACTAAAATTCATCCTTCCTTACAGATTTAAACACTTCAAACTGAACACAGTTCTCCTCATGCTTTTTAATATATTTAATATTTATTTGTATTAAATTCATACATAGTCATTGTTTTTATAATGAAAAAATCCTACTTTATACATAGTCATAGTTTTTATAATGAAAAAATCCTACTTTATAAGGTTTATTGTGAAAAACAGTAACCTCTGCCTGTCCTCCTTCCCAGAGCAGCCGTCTTCAACTTTGTTAGCTGTTTCTTTTGTGTTTGCCTGCATATTTCTAAATAACTAACTGTCTTGTTTTGATTCTTTTAGAAAACATTCTTACTTTTATTTTTGCCCTCTTCTTTCTTCCTGACTCATACACATATATGTACTTTCCCTTCCACATCCTTCCACTGTAATTATATCATGAGTTTGATAGAAACATGTTTAGACTTCACTTTAATATAACTAAGTGAATATTTTCTCACAACTGAGTCATTCTGTACGTTATGATTACATTTTCTTTCTTGAACAACTTTTTATTTTCCCTGGAGTTAATAATTGCAATGATCTTTAAACTGTTTACTTTTCTATATACCAATCAGTGATTCATTCCTAAGCTCATTGCCAGAAGTTAAAATTTTCTCTTGATATATTCACACATGTCAGGTAATCCATCTGTTTTATTTATGTTCTTCAATTCATCTGCCCAAACCCTTCTGTCTCCTCATCTGATTTTTCAGTTTGGAGGCAATAGAGATGAGGTTAAGCTAAGGCATTCAGAAACAAAATACATACATCGCTTTGGCATTTGGAGAGAAGAGAAAACACTTATCGCCAGATGTAATCTCTACTTATTTTATTTTAAAAGTAGCTGGAAGGCACTTGTAAACTATAGCCTTCTCCATCAACATACGATGGGATGATGATGATGCTGGTGATGATGATGTTGGCTGTACCAAAGTAATGAACAAACGTTTCCTAAGTATATATACACTTTGATCTTGCAAAGCACAGAGAGAAGTCACAGAACAAGAACAACAGACAGTGATTGTTCCTTTTCTGTGGAGCTACACATGACACTCTGAGGAGCTAAACAGATTTTCAGTGGAACGTAGACACACATGAAGTATACTTGTAATAATAGCTTATATTTCTCCAGTGCTTACTGTGCTGAGTGTTGTGCCTGCATTGTCTCACTTCATCGACACCGAACTGTGAGACCGAACTATTAAGACTCCCATTTTACAGAGGAAAAAACTCTGTTAGCTTAACCAACATTACACAACTAATATTTATGGGACTCAGGAGTTGAACTCAGGAAGTCTGACTCTAGAGCCCCACACCTTCCTCTGTGCTGTGCTGCGCCTGATCTTAGAAATGATTTACAAGGTGTGGTTCCAACCGACAGAGTACCAAATGATTGAAGTGAATACCAAGGTGTGTGGAAGAACAGTGTGCCAGCTACGTTGCAAGCATTGGACCACTGGGATCTTTTTATGTTCACCTCAGTGTCCCAGGATTGCCTTGTGCGTATTTGCTGAATTTAATCGAGTAGAACACACCATTTCCACAAATATGTCAGCATATGTTCTCTCTGTGAAGGGAGAAAGGACACACCTTTCTTTAGCAATACCTGTAAAATTCTGAAAAATCAGAACTAGCTTTTTTCCTCTGGTCTCACCTCTAGACTTGACACTTTGTGTTCTAGATTATTAAACCTTGTCATTCCCTCACCCTCCCATGTCTTTGGCACCTCTGTGCTTTTGTTAACACTGTTCCACTGCCATGAAGTCCCTTCCTTCTCATTCTTTCTAGAAAACACCTTTTCACCCTTACGAAGGTTTTAGATATCACCTCCTCGAGGGACTCTTTCCATGACCTTCCCGGAAGATTCCCTTCTCCGTGTTTTACAAGGACACAGTTTATCTTGCCTCCAATATAGCATGTCCCTGTGTTCTCTACACCAGTATCTAGCACAGTGCTCAGTCACTGACGGTATTTAGTAAAAGTTTCTTTAATTAATGAACAAATGAATAAATGGGTGGGTTTTTTTGTTTAATTTTTTAATTCTCATTAACTTTCAATACATCTATCATATTTTTTCCCAAGTACATATCAAATATCGACCTAAGCTCTATGTGCTCAGAGTCGAGAAAGAATTGCAACTTTTCTCCTGAATCTCCTGTGCAAACTGTTGGTTATTTTCATTTATGCTTTGATCTTGATACACTGTTGTAACACATTAATAATAAACATGATGTCTTCAAAAAGGCATAAATCTGCAGATCAACATCCAACAACTTTGAATACCAGGGCATAGAAGCGCCTGTTGAAAAAAATACCCATAAGGACACCACCAGTGATAAGGAGTTGCAGTAAGTATATTAAAATGAAATGACCACTGGTAGTGTTTACATCTTATGAAGCTCTCCCATGTCGGCAGGACACAGATATCTGTTAGTATCAATACTTTATCACATCCCCATTATTTTGCTTGAGTATTTCTATAGAATAGTGTATGGTATAACTTTAGCTCCAGTGCTTCCCAACTATACCCTTGCCCTCTCCCCCCTCACCTATTTTCACAGGTAGAGGGTTGATTGTAGCTGGCCTCAGAAGCCACTCCTGAATGTGAATCCCTAATGTTTCATATGACGTTGGTAAGTCAGATCTCATGACTTTGGAGGAAAACATCTAGTGGATTTTCATAGTTGGTAGAATAAAATCCCAGCTCCTTCCAATGGTTCACAAGTTCTAAATGGTCTGACTCAGCTTGGGTGGATGTTTTTAAGTAAACTTTCTCCATGGACCAAGAACCTTTCAGATTCTCCAAAACCACTTTCTCTGAATAAGAAAGTTTTTCAAAACTGTTTTTTCCATGGCTATCTTCTCCTATCTTTATTTTTTTGTTGTTGTTATTTAATAAAAATATTGCATAATGTAAAGTGACTGACCCTTAATTTCTAACTGACTATTTTTATTATACCCAACTGAGTGCAAATATTCCATTTCATTACTTTGTTATTTTTTCAATATTCAATATACATATTACTCATAAAAATGTGACTTCCTGCTTTATTTCCAGTGTAACACATGAAGGTTCCATAAAATCTACCAGAGAAAATGAAATGTAGCTCAGACAGGAGATTTTATCTATTCCTGTGGCTCCCCACTGTCGACTCATATCATGTAATTCTACTTAGCACTTCTGGGCCCATTTCCTTCAAAGTACTTTCCAAGCATTACCTAAGTGATGTAGTATATATGAGTGGATGGGACGCCAGGAACTTGAGCCGTAAACGTAGAACCGTTAAATACAGTTCTAAGGAAATTAGATTTTAGAGTTGGAAGAGCACTATGGTTCTGACACTAACTCTCTGTCTCAGTTCAAATGACCAAACTTCTACCTCCCCTCCAACGTCTCTGTTATGAGGACAAGGGGGATATTGTATTAAATGGACGGGCGACTGAGAAGTGGTGTTCCAAAGCTTATGAAAAGCTATAATCCCCAATGGGCAGCCACATTAAAAGACTTTTTTTTTTCTCAAGATGTCAGAAAAAGAACTGCCATCACTTCATAATCAAGACATAGTATACTATAAACTGAAAAAGCCAGTAAGGGTTCAAGAGCAACCATTATTTTAAATTATCGCAATAGCTATTTATTGTCTGCTGTATGCTAAGTGTTTTGCATGCAGTACCTTTAATTTTCTTCACAAAACTTAGAACAAAGTAATGATTCTATAAAATCGAGGAGTTTTGCCCTGTCCTGTCTTTATGATCCCTTTTAACTTCAATCCAGAAGATTCTCTAATGTAAAAAGGACACCTTTTAGAAAATGCTACTGTGTGGAGAAAGCCAGAGGCTAAATAAGGAGTTGCACTCACTGAATGAAGTTTTTCAGAGTTTTTCCATCTCATAGAAAAGTCTGGAAGGTTCAAATTAATGAAGTTGTGATCATTGGGGAGCAGGACCAGAGGATACCGAAAGAAGGGTAGCTTTCAGTTAAAATATTTTATAGACTTCTGCATCACATATGGTTTTTTAACAATAAGCATGTAGTTGATTTAGGAATTTCGAAATGTTATAATGGGAAAAATTGTATAAAGATCTTTTATAATCCAGGTCCTATTGACACATGTTGTTTCTCCCTCCCAGACTGGTGTCATCTGCATTCCAGTAGCAATCCTTCAGTTCCAGCCGCGAACGGGAGCATGCGGTCGCTGTATCTACAGCATCTAGCAACTGCACGGGACCTAGTGACCACTCAGTCATGAATTAAATGACTTCTCTACAGGAATCTTAAAATTTCTGTTTTCCTTTAATGACCGTAGAAAAAGTGAAAAATTCTAGTCGTCTTGAGACTGATGTGGTATATTGGTGTGCATGTGATTGTGTTAGTGTTTAAGATTGTGCTTGTGACAAATGGTTAATGAGAAAAGAAAACTAGGCACCCAAATATGTGATGATGTGCATGTGCTGAGCTGAGGCCATCAGCACTGCACCAGGCTATAGAATGATGATCGCACAGACGTCACTAGGCCCTTCCAATATTGCCATGTGGAGCTTGAAAGCACCTGTCCCTCGCCAGCAAGACCATGTGAGGTAAACCAGTAATTTCATGTCAGCCAGAGAACATCATCTGTCACATTAATGTGTTTGTTTCACTTTTTGCAGAGTTTGCGTTTTATTTTTAACTCCTAGCTTTGTAGTTATATGAAAGCCAAAAGAAACATTTAACCTTGTTTGTGCCTATATTTAAGTCATATTATAATAAAAACAATTTAAGTCAAACAGAGGGTCTGTCAAAACTTTTTTTAAAAAAGGAATTACATTGGGGAAATACAATTTCAAATAGTTATTGAAAATATTAAGCCAAACAAAATGAAAGACAGGGCCCTGTGACATGTATCTTGAATTATTAATCCACAACTGGAGTATATTTGTTCAATCAGATAGAATTACACATAATAGAACTATTGCTCATGCCGTGCAGTGCCCTTACGCACAGACTATAATCACTGACTTCATCTACTGTTTATGGAAATCAAGACGCACAATGTCTTGAGCCACCTCCTCACCTATCAGATATTTAAATTTAATATTTAAAGAATGGTAATATCATTATTGTCGGGCTGTTGGTTTATTCATCTTTTGTTGATTTATTTATTTAGTTTTGTTTGTTCATTCACTAGGTTGTTTAATTAATATTTACCGTGTGATATATTATACATTATGCCGGGCACTGAGCTCTTATTGCTGCTAGTAGGTGAGAGTATATACTGCAATTGTAGCAGTATGAATCTATAGCTTAAAACGTTCTTATCTTTTACTGAATAATACATCTTTTAAAAATTTATCCCGTATCAATAATCAGGTAAGTGTGCACAAAAGTAGTTGAAAGGATATTTAGCACAACATCTGTGGAAGATCTTAAATCAGCCAAAAAGTCTTTCATCCCTCTTAGTACACCTCCTCTAATGTGACACAGCAGATTCTCCCATCACAAGTGGTGAGGACTATTTCTCCCTCCCTTGAAACTGGGCTGGATGTATGAATGGGATTGGCCTATGAGACATTAATGAATGTGTGGGAAGCAGAGGTTTGGAAAGCACTTGTGCCTGAGTCCACTGTGTGACGAAGCCCAGCCTAGCCCACTGCAGGATGAGAGACCGTGTGGAGAGAGGCCCCAGTCATTTCAGCTGTGCCAGCTCTCAAAGTTTCCTCAAAAAAATGTGAGCTTTAAAAATTGGTTTTTATCTTAAGCTGTGAAGTCTTGGGTGGTTTGTTACACTGTGAAAGCTAATCGATACTGCATTATTTGTAATTACGAAAAACAATCTACATATATGTCCAACGGGAGACTGGTTAAATGAAATCTCATTCATTCATGCAATGCCAAATGAGACTACAAGTAAGAATGATGATCTCAATATATTCTTGGTGTGCTGTTAAGTGGAGAGGAAATTCTAAGACGGTATGTAAAATATCTTTTTGTTCAGAAAACAAAACCCTAAACAAATCCTGAATAAGTGTGGTAGATTCTACGCTAGTGGTTATATCTCACGATTTTTAAAAATTCTTTGCTTATCTCTATCGTCTCATTCGTCTATTTGGATTAAGAGAAATAATAAAAAGCCATTGTCTGTGTGTATGCCCTGCTCCCCAGTACTGTGCTCTTTCCTTTTCTCTCCTCACCTCTGCTTTGTGAAATACTCTTAGCGTCTCTGCTCTTGGGTTGTTCCTTTTCCACGTCTCTCTCCTTTTCTGCTTTCCTCCTTGTGGTCTTTGGCCTCCATGAAACATTCATTATAATTTTTGCTTTGCTTCTGTCACAGCACCTTTCTTCTCTACTCGGGTTCCCATGCAGGATCTGTGTTTGTGCATGACACTCGAGAGCACTTGGCTACAGACATACTTTTGTCTACTTGGTAAGTAAAGTAATGTGAGAAGACCAGGGATGGAACGAGTGCTACCAAGTGCACAAGGATAGCACTGATATGGGTGGTGGAAAATGGCAAATTTAGTGGATGGGGAAGATGCTTTCAGGCTCAGCGTCAAAAAAGAATGCAATGTTTACACTTCGCACTGCCCACTCTCCCAAATACCTGTTAGTAATTATCTTATGGCTTTGACCAAGGAGCTAAATATCTTCTTCAGTGTGTGTGCGTGTGTGTGTGTGCGTGCGCGCGTGTGTGTGTGTGTGTGTGTGTGTGTGTGTGTTAATTCTGACTAATCTTGAGGTAGGCAGACAGCGCCTTTTTACTGATGAAAATATTGAGTACCAAAATGACTAAGTGATATGTCTTAGGGTGAAAGAAAATCTAGTGTTAAACCCGATCATCTGATTACTACCACTGGTTTATGTACTTTAAGCTTCTACAAGTAGATGCTCTGAAAGGAATAGTATGGCAAAACTTCTGGATATTTCTACGAGTAACTGACAGTCATTAAAAATTTTAAAAACCAATGAATGCAAAAGTAACAATTAATGGACTTAGGGAAAATAACAATAGGATTTGTCTCTACGTAGCAGTCTCCCTCTC